GACGAGAGGCACGCATCGAGGGGGAAGCGCCGCCGATATCCGTGGAGCAGCACGGCCTGGCCTAGGTACGACCAGTGCGCGCCAGCGCGACCGTGCGAGGCGCATGCGGAAAAGATGACGCCGTCCATGTGTGCACCTGCTGGCAGCAGCAAGGCGAGTGCGCCTCGGGCGCGGAGGCGAGAACCGCTCCTTCAGCAGACGGTCTGGAGCAAGGAGGGTGTGCTCGTGTGGGGGGGGGGGGGAGGGCGGGGGCGGAGGATCGTGTCGGCTTGCGTAGAAGGCATCGCACCTATCGTGCTATATCGTGCATCTGTCCTCTTTTTCATATATATATATATATATATATATATCATATGGGAGCCTGCGGACCCCACCCCGCCCGAAACGGAATCCCTGGCGCCCGGGGCCCCCTCAGAGGGTCCCGCGAGATTTCCGGGCCTTTGGTGGATGTTCCTGCCGAGCCGTGCAAACGGGTCGGCGGCGGTCCCAAGAGAGCCCCGAGATTGGGCCCCAGACCCCCACCATGACGCCCGAGGGCGGGCCAAAGAGCAACCACAAGAGGGCTTCTTCGGAAGGCCAAAACGGGTGACGTTCCTTTTTGGCGTGTGTCCGATATTGGCAAGGCCTTGCGGCCAGTGCCGCCGACCTTGAAGGGGGACGACGACCACGAGGGCGGCGTCGGCGGCGACGACGACGCTGACGTGGGGCAGAGTCCTCAGTGATGCTTCGTGGGGCGTCTTCGGAACGCGCTTGTAGGCTTCTTGGGGGCAGTTTGGGGACCTCTTGCGAGCATCTTGGGGGCATCTTGGGAGCCTCTTAGGTGTCCTTTCGAGCTTCCTGTGGTCCTCTCGGTTGCCTCGTGGGGCCTCGTGGGGGCCTCGTGCGACCCTCTTGGGGCCTTCTGGGAGCTTCTCGGGGCCGACGGCTCGAAATGTTCGCTCGGGCTCCCGTGTGGGCAATCTCTGAAAGCCGCTTTGGGGGCCTATTGGACCGTCTGGGAGACCCCTGGGGCCGTTTGGGGGCCCTCTTGGGTCGTTTTGGGGCCGTCTTGGAAACCTATTCGGGGCAAACTTTAGCGCCTCTTGTGCCACTGGTGGCCTCTTGGGGCGTCCGTGGGCGTCGGGAAGCCGAACAAAACGCGAAAACGCCAGAATCTTCCAATATTATCCTTAGCGGGAAGACATTTAATTTTGCCTGTTGGGGCCCTCTTGGTGTGCTCTTGGAGGCCTGTTCGAGCGTCTTAGAAGCAGCTTGGACCGTCTGGGGGGCCGCTTGGGCTGTCTTGGGGCCTTTTTAGCCCCAGGACCCCCCCTGGGGCAGGATGATATTCTGACCCGGGATCTTCACCAGGACCCCCCCCCCGAAGAGGCTCTAGAAACGCAGCAAATCTTGATTCCCTCTTGGTTTTGGTATGATTTGAGACTTCTGAGTTGTCCGGTCTTCTGGGCAAAGTCTTCCTGACAGTCCAAGAAAGACCCGAGACGGCCCAAGAGGGCTCCGAAATTGCCCACAGAGGGCCCCATGACGGGCACACGTGTTCCCAAGACTCCACGCGGCATGGTGGCCCGAGGAACCCTCAGAGGCCGCCACAAGGTGCCAGGGACGTCTCCAGAGGCCCCAAGGAGCTCGCCTCGAAGGCCTCGCCTGAGGAGGACGGGGAATTGTTCGCGGGGCAATCAAGGCGAGAGCGAGGAAGAGGAAGTAGAGGGGGACACATGGGGACACATGAGGGAAGGAAAAGGAACACCAATATGAGAACGGTGAAGGCGAAAATTGCAATGTAGAGCGATTGATGTTGATTGATCTATTTCTCTCCCATTTTGCCGGCATGTTAGAAAGGACTATAGTGCACGGCGCCAAACGCGAATGTAGTCTTATTCACATTCTATACAGATATATCTGTAAACGGAGCTCTCTATTTGCTGCGTTACATAGAGAGGGGCTTCCATTGCGAAGGGTTGGTATTGGAGCTTCTGCAGCGGAATCTTCATGTGCTAAGTTGCCTTGCTTGCATCTGCCTACGTGCAGGTATTGAGCAACAGATGAACTGCCGGCTTGCTTAGCCTTAATCCAGGCGGCCGATCTTTGAGAGAGACAGGAAAGAAACATAAGGGGACATTGGAGGAGAATAGATGGGGCAGGGGACGAGACGGGAAACCAGAAAGTACGAAGAAGGATAGCGAGGGCGGGCTTACATGTGCATCGGATTTCCTTCCTGACATCCCCACCGGCTTTCAAACAGGTGACCGTATTCATATGTTCTGGCATTCTTTGACCCTGAACATACACCACCTGGGCGGGGTCCGCGCTGGTTGCGTCACTCATCGTTCGAACCGAACTGCTGCCATCAAAACAAACAGCGATAGCACTACTGTGAGTACTGAATGCGTCACTCTGTGCTCGAACCGAACTGCTGCCATCAAAACAAACAGCGATAGCACTACTCTGAGTGCTGGTTAGGTCACTCCGCGTTCGAGCCGAACTGCTGCCATCAAAGCGAGCAGCGATGGCACTACTTTGAGCGTTGGTTGCGTCACTCCGCGTTCGAGCCGAACTGCTGCCATCAAAACAATCAGCGATGGCACAACTGTGAGTGCCAGCGGGGCCGCCAGCGCAGGGAGGCCCAGCTACGGCCTCAGGGTGACCCGCATGCGAGAGGCTCGGCCACGCGCAGGAGGTGGGAAGGGGGGAGGGAGAGGGCTTCTTAGAAGCACCCCTGCACCCTCAGGAGGCGCGGGCCTTATCTACAGATGTGAGGGCAGCGCCTTCTGAGAAGCAGCCTCCTGAGAAGCCCTCCCCGCTCCCACCAGCTCCCTGCGCGCGCCGCCAAACGCCCGCGGCAACGGCCGGTTTTTCTCCCTGCCAGGGCCACCCGCGCCGGCCCACCAGCGGCCGCGTCTCGGGCGACCGTGCAGCAGACACCTCGCTCGAGGCGTAAGAAAGCGCAGTTTTGCAGCCAGAGTCTCGGAATTTCTTGTCCCAGACACGCGGCTTCAGAAACCACCCGCGCTGGCCAGACCCTGGGGAAGTGTCTGAGACTTGATGCTTTCCTGAGGTCGTGTGGGCCCCCACTTGGGCCCCACTTGGATTCGGCTGGGGCCCCACTTGGGTTGGGCTCGGGCCCCATTTTGGCCCCACTTGGGTTCGGCTTGGGCCCCACTTGGATTCGGCTCGGGCCCCACTTGGGCCCCACTTGGATTTGGCTCGGGCCCCACTTGGGCCCCACTTGGATTCGGCTGGGCCCCACTTGGGCTGGGCTCGGGCCCCACTTGGATTCGGCTCGGGCCCCACTTGGGCTGGGCTCGGGCCCCACTTGGTCCCCACTTGGATTGGGCTGGGCCCCACTTGGGCCCTCCTTGGATTTGGCTCGGGCCCCACTTGGGCCCCACTTGGATTTGGCTGGGCCCCACTTGGGTTGGGCTCGGGCCCCACTTGGATTCGGCTGGGCCCCACTTGGGTTTGGCGCGGGCCCCACTTGGATTCTGCTCGGGCCCCACTTGGATTTGGCTCGGGCCCCACTTGGGCCCCACTTGGATTCGGCTGGGCCCCACTTGGATTTGGCTCGGGCCCCATTTGGGCCCCACTTGGATTCGGCTGGGCCCCACTTGGGTTGGGCTCGGGCCCCACTTGCGCACCACTTGGATTCGGCTCGGGCCCCACTTGGATTTGGCTCGGGCTCCACTTCGGTTGGGCTGGGCCCCGCTTGGGTTCGGCTCGGGCCCCACTTGGGCCCCACTTGGATTCGGCTCGGGCCCCACTAGGATTTAGCTCGGGCCCCACTTGGTTCCCACGAGGCGGATTCAGGACCGACCGGAGATGCGCGCACCATATTTGTCAACGCAGCCTCCGTGCACACTGCATTCTCATACGCAGCACGTCGCGTAATCGTGCACGGTCGCATGTGCTCATGCACATACCGAGCCCCTGGGCCAGACCCTGGACATTTCTTACTGAGATTTGAGAAACCAGCCGGCGCGAGACCCATTAATTTCTAACCCCATGATTTCTTAACCATCTCGCGAGGTGCAGGTGCCTCAAGAACGGAACCGGCTCGCCGGCAGGGGCCCCAGCGGAGGCACCTTGTGTCATGCTGGCCCCGAGAGCCCCCAGAGTCCACGGGACACCTCGGGAAGTCCAGGTAGCAATGATGAAGAATTCGGACGCGTCAGGGCGCCCGGTGCACCCTCTGATATCATTGAATATGCTCCATCCCCGTTGGGGCTAGAGGTGTCCAGAGCGCTGCAGCAAGCGGAACACCCGCAAGCGTGGCCGAATTTTGGGGGCTACGGAAGCAGGCTGCGCCACGCTGGTCCGAGGCAGGCCATGCTGCCCGGCGGCAGGGGGGCGAGGCCGGGAGAAGCAGGCAGACGACGCCGGACGCCCAGACCTCGAGGCGAGGGCCGGCGCGCGGGGCAGACGCATTCGGGCGCCCTGCCTGGGAGGTCAAATCCTGACTCCTCCTCCTCCTCCTCCTCCTCCTCCTCCTCCTCCTTCAGCGGCTTTAATCCCGCTGAATCTGGCATGATCCCGTTCAGCCCGGCTCAGTCCCGCGCGATCCGAGCCCCCAGTCCTGCGCACCAGCCCCCCACTGGGGTTTCACGCCCCCTCCTATGTGGTCCCTCCGACGAAGAGCCCCCAGCAGCTGCCTCCCGCGAGGAGAGGGCGTGGCCTTCGATCCTCTCCGAGCGAGCGGCTCCCTGCCGCGGGCGCCGCATGCGGCAGCCGTTTCGGCTCCGGCCGCGGCTGCCTGGGCCAGCGGAGGCGCCCGGCCCCCGCTTCCCCGGGGCGGGGCCCGCGCGGCGCAGCGGAGAGGGGGCGGCCCCGGCCGGCGGGGCTCCTCGGGGCCTCCCCGCGGCGCCCGCGGAGCGCGTGGCGGACAGGGGCGCTGGCGGCGGGGCGCGCGCCATCGAAGAAGAGATCAACGCTGAAGTCGGGCGCGTCTCTCTCTACAGGAGGGAGACTCAGAAATAGTCAAATCGGTATGGGGAAGTTTTTTTTTTCAACAAACAATAGCATTGGTGGGGTATGTTTGATTGTTTCGCCCACAATCCCCCCTGTAGGGGGACATGCCCCACCTAAAGCAACGGCACAAGCAGAAGCATAATTTTTTCGGCGCTCCGCGCGGATTTCTTGGACCTGCACTAAGCCCCCCTGGCGGCGCCTCCGGCGCCGCCACTGGCGCGCTCCGCGCGCCAGAGAGGGGGCCCAGCGCAGCTCCAAGAGATCCTCGCCGCGGAGCGCCAAAGAATTCATGATCGTGCCGTGGTATCTTCTTCTGCGCCAGGGTTGGGGGGGCCGATGGCGGAGGGCATGTCCAGGGGGTCCCAGGCCGCCACGATGTGCGCCGCGCTCATCCGAAGGAGGTCAAGACGGCATCCGCAGAAGCCTTCGGAGCTTCGCGCAGATCTCCTAGATCGGCGCCGGGCCCCCCTGGCGGCGCCTCTGGCGCCGCCCCTGGCGTGGTCCGCGCACCAGGGAGGGGGTCCAGCGCCGATGCAAGGAATCCGCGCGGGCCTTCGACCGCGTGTGTTTATGCAGTTGCTTCTTCCTTGGCTCATGGTCTTTCTGTACGAGGGCTTCGCGTACAACGCAGTGTACCTGCACCGCGTGCTGCCTGCCGTGGGCAAGAAGGACCTGCAGACGCCGTTTCTGATCCTCTTCAACGTCGTCTGGGGCTTGGCCATGTGGTCGTACCTGCGAGCGCACTCGGCGGACCCTGGCTCGATGCCACGCCGGTGGCTGCAGTTTGTTGACAGTGTCGGCCAGGGCCTTCCCATTGCGCCCGCGAGGCCAGAGTGGCAGCCCGGCAAGGCGACGTTTTGCAAGAAGTGCGATCTGACGCGTCCCGAGCGGGCTCACCACTGCGTGATCTGCCAGGCGTGCATCTTGCGCATGGACCACCACTGCCCGTGGATCAACAACTGTGTGGGTTTCAACAATCACAAGCATTTCCTGCTGCTGGGCACATACGCTTGCCTGGCCAGCTACGTTGCCTTGATAACCACCCTCCCCGAGCTGTTCACCTGTGCGGCCATGCTCGCGCGAATGGACGATAGCTTCGCCTTCGAGCACACCGACCTTGAGCTCGCAGACGTGGCGTCTTTTCTGATTTTCGGCTTCCTAGCGCTCTTCATCGCGCTCCTTCTCACCCCGATGCTGATGGCCCACGCGCCCCTCGCGACGCTCAACATGACCACCATCGAGGACAACTACAGGAACATGCCGAACCCGTTCGATCAGGGGAGTATTTTCGGCAACCTGTCCCAGGTCTTCGGCGCGTTCGGAGCGGACTGGTTCCTCCCCATTGCGCCATGGAGGCCACTCTCAGACGGCGTGTCCTTCCCGAGGTCGGACGAGAGGTTGGGTCCCGATGGCTTGCCCGAGAGGATCATCGGGGATCAGGCGCTGGAGATAGAGGATCTCTGGAGGTCGCGCTACCACGTCTTCGCGGTCGACTACTGGCAGCCGCCGGCGAGGGAGGAGAGTGGCCTGGCCTCTCTCTCGCAGCTGTGGGCGTGCAACCAGTGAAAGCTTCCGAACCATCCAGGCTGTAGAGCTAAGTCGGGCCTGTCCCTCTACAGGGGGCATATTCACAAGTAGTTGAACAAAAAAGTATGGGATGTTTTTGGTGTATGTTTGGGCATCTTCTGGGCATTGCTGGGGTATTTCTATTCTTCCGTCCAAAATCCCCCTGTAGGGGGACAGGCCCGATTTAAGAGTAGAGGCGCCCGGCGATGGTCGCCGCGGGCGGAAGGTCTGTCGCGGGACCTGGCGTGGCTTCCCGGTGGCCTGCAGTATCACTTGCTCGCCACAACGCCTTGCTCGTCGCCTTCGCCTTTCCCTCCTTCGCTGCTGTTGAAGAACGTCGTCATCTCGGGCGGTCAAGCAGATTGCCCTGTATAATTCGATTCTCTTGTAGGGCAAGGTCCCTGGGCCAGCAGACTGGCACGGCTTCCGGAGGATGCCAGGAACAAAAACAGGTTCCTAGGCGAGTTGTCGTGAGAAGGGGAATGGAGGGGCATGATGAGTGAAGGAATGTGTGGCGACATCAGTCATGCTGGAGCTGAGATCAGCCCGAGCAGGCCACAGCACTGGCCAAGCTCGTTTGGGAGCCTCCTGCCCGCCGTCCCCCTCCCCGGGCAACGGAGACGATCGCACGTAGGGTTCCGTCGGGCCTATCTTGTCCCCCTACAGGGGGGATATTCAAAAATAGTCAAAAAATAGTCTGGGGACTATCTTTTAAGTATTTTTGGGCATGTTTATGTTTTTGGGGGATTTTTTAGTTGTCGTCCCAAATCCCCCCCTGTATGGAGACAGGCCCGACCTGAACGTAGGGGGGGGGGGTGGCGGCCCCCTCCTCCCGCATGTTGGTTCTCGCGCGCATCTTGCGGCCATTGCAGCACACCCCCGTCCCGACGTGCCCCGCCTCGCCCGAGCGTTACCACAGACCGGGGGCCCCCTCGCCCCCCTCTTCACGACCGTTCCCTGGAAGGATAACAAGGCAGCGAGCTGCTCCTGGCACCCGAGCGACGGAAGAACACCGGCGGTGGCGATGGCAGCACACCCCCGTGCCGACGTGCCCCGCCTCGCCCAGGCGTTACCACAAACCGGGGACCCTCTCCCCCCTCTTCACGACCGTTCTCAGGAGAAAAAGAAACACACAGACACAATTAATCCTCGATTCCTCAGAAAATATAGGGAAATATGGGAAGTGGGGGGGAAAGCAGAAACCCAGAAAATGTGGGAAAATATGGGGATTTGTTTAATTTGTGTGTGTTTATTTTGTGTGTCCTGGGGCCCCTTCACGACCGCTCCCTGGAAGGAGAACAAGACAGCGAGCTCCTCCTGGCACCCGAGCGACGGAATAGAACCGGGTCGACTGCGCGGACATTGTTTTCTTGAGTTTCCCGCGAAGGGTCGCGTGTGCTAGGGGGGCACCTGCGAACCCTACCCCTACCCCCCACGATTTCTGAGGGGGAGGGTGGGGTTCACTTCGTTCGGGTAGGGTTCGCAGGTGCCCCCCTAGTGTGCGCGCCCCTTTCTCCACACGGACTGTCACGCTGTCGGCCGCGCGAGCCACGGGTCGATACATGCCATCCTGTGTCCGTGCGGGGCTTTCTCGTCCCTCACCTGTTTTGGGGTGCGACTCCTGGGAGGTCAGATTCTGATTCAGCCCTGGTCCGGAATCCCGCTTCATCCGGCTTAAGCCCGCTTCGTCCGGGTGGATCCCGCTTAGTCCCGCTCAATCCCGCTTGATCCGAGGCCCACTCTGGCGTAACAGCCCCCCAGTGGGGCTTCATCCTCTTGAAATCCATCCGACGAACACCTCCCAGTAGTTTTAAGTCGGGCCTGTCCCTCTACGGGAGGGATACAAATAGTGAAAACATAGTCTGGGGACTATTTTTTGCATTTTTGTTTGACCATGTTGGAGCATGTTTTGAATCTGTTTTCATTTTTCGTCGAAAGCCCCCCTGGAGGGGGACACGCCCGACTTAGCGGCAGCTGCCTCCGCACCCGCTGCCCTCACGCCGCCCTGCTCGTCTTTGCCCCCCTGCAGCGCCACGCGTCGCGCCAGCGGTCGGTGTCCGAGGCCGCCCGGGCGCCCCCACACGACGTCGACTCTCGACCGTCGGGCCTCTCCCGCCCGCGCCCGCCGCCGCGGCGGCCCTCTGCTCTTCCGCCCCGGCTCCCAGGTCGGGCCTGTCCCTCCTACAGGAGGGATGCAGCCAAGACGCTGAAGCAGGGAACAGTTTGGCTTCGGAAAGTGGCTTGATGTTCCCGAGGTTCCCCCGGGCGCCGTTCCTCGTGCCCTCCCCGGGGGCACGGAGGCGCTCACAGGGGGCCAAGAAGGGGCCTCGTTCCTTATTTCGCGTTCCCTCTTTCAGCAGCCCGACGGTATTCATGAATAGTCCAAACGTGCAAAAAAACAGTCAGGGGACGACGTTGTGATTATTTTTGAGCATGTTTGGAACGTCTCGTAACTCCTTTTCATTTGTCGCCCACCATTCCCCTGTAGGGGGACAGGCCCGACCGAACCCTATTCAGCGCCCCGCGCCCGGTGCGCCCCAAAGGTACCGACCCCCGCGCCAGCGTCCTCCAGCGCTGCGGAGGAACAGAAAGACGAACAGACAGTCCTGGCGACAGACGACAGACCTCCAGCCTGCGGACGAACAGACAGTTCCAGCGACGACGACAGACGGTCCTGGCGACAGACGAACAGACAGTCCAGCGCTGCGGAGGAACAGTCCTCCAGTCCTGCCGACAGACGAACCACAACGCATCACGTTGGGTATCGTGTTCTCTCCAGGATGCGCTACTGCAAGAACGGTCCTATGCTTCGGCGCACCGGTGGCCAAGCCAATGCGGGGCGTGCAGGCATGACGTAGCAACCGCTGCTGCTGCTCATTCCCCTCTCCTCCTCCTCCTCCTCCTGCTCCTGCTCCTGCTCCTGCTCCTCCTCCTCCTCCTCCTCCTCCTCCTCCTGCTCCTCCTCCTCCTCCTCCCCTCCTCCTCCTCCTCCTCCTCCTCCTCCTCCTCCTCCTCCTCCTCGAGACCTCCCGTCGCTGCCCCGCCCGCGGACGCCCCGCAGACCGCCCAATGCCCCCCGCGCGCACCGGCAGGCGACGAGCGCGCCTCGCGCTTCGCCGGCCTCGGCGCGCGGGGGCAGCGCGCCCTGAACCGATTCGGCGCGCTGGAGCGCGTGGATCGCTGGCCCCGCGGGCGTCGTCGTCGTCGTCGCCGCCGTCGTCGTCGTCGTCGTCGTCACAGTCCTCACAGTCGTCGTCGTCGTCGCCGCCATCGTTGTCGTCGTCACAGTCGTCACAGTCGTCACGGTCGTCGTCGTCGTCGTCGTCGTCGTCGTCGTCGTCGTCGTCGTCGCCGCCACCGCCGTCGTCGTCGTCACAGTCGTCGTCGTCATCGTTACTGACGTCCACGTCGTTACCGTCGTTACCACCGTCATCGTCGTCGTCGTCGTCGCCGTCGTCGTCGTCGTCGTCGTCCTCCATCCGTCGCCGTCGTCGTCGTCCATCCGTCGTCGCCGCCGCCGCCGCCGTGGTTGTGGTCGTCCTCCTCCTCCTCGCCTTCCTTGCCGTCCTCTCCCTCCCCCTGGAACCGCCTGCGCTTGGCTCGAAGAAGAGCAAACTACACAAGCCGAACTGCTCCAGTGGCCCGCGCGAATTGCTAAGGTCCGCGCTGGCCCCCCTTGGCGCCCTGGCGGGTCCTCCGGCGCCGGCCCCGGCGCCCGCGCCGACCTCCGAGAGTTGATGTCTATGCCGCAGGGCCAGGCGCCTCCGGGGCCCAGCAGCGATGTGTGTGTGCATGCCCCTAGCCGTTCGAAGGGGGGGCATCTCTGGAGGCTGTCGGGCAGCGTGCGAGGTCTCTGGGCGTCTTCTGCCTCTCTCCTCCTGTCGCCCCCCCTCCCTCTGGCCAGATCCTACCGCGGCGCCTTTTTTTCCTCTCGCCGTGCCGCCCAGCTGTGGCGGCAGACGGAGAGAGCAGATTTTGGTTGTTGAAAGAAGAGTTGTCTGGATTCCATGAGCTTCCGATCCGATCCGATCCTTTCCTGGCTCCTCGGCTCCTCGGCTCCTCGGGCCAGTTTCCGTGCCTTGCCTGGCCCGCCCTTCTGTGTCCGCCCGCCCCGTGGCCCGAAGCTGGGAGCTGCGGCGGCCCGCGGGGCCACGCCGGCGAGCATCGTCGGGGTGCGAGGCGCGGACCTCGTGCCGTGAGGTCGGGCACGTCCTCCTGCAGGCGGATTTGGGAAGGCAGATGAAACATAGTCAATCAGCCACGCGCAGAGGGGGGATGGGGGGAGGGGGGAGGGCTTCTTAGAAGCACCCCTGCTTATTAGAAGGCGCGGGCCTTCTCTGTAGATGTAAGGCAGGCGCCTTCTGAGAAGCAGCCCCCTTCTCATCAAGGGAAGGGATACCGGCAAGAGTGAGGCGAGGGGACGAGGAGGACGAAATGGAGTAGGAGGAGGTGGAGGAGGTGGTTCCCCCTCCCGCCTTAACCTGCGCCCTCCCCCCCGCCCCCGTCGGTCTCGCACCACCTTCGGCGCCGTGGAGTTCCACCAGGACGGCAGGCCTCCGCGGGTCTCGATGCACCGGAAGCTGCGCCCAGTGAGGAGCGCGGGCGGGCAGGGCGGGGAGGCGAGAGGCAGGGGAAGGAAGAAGGAGAAGGACGACGACGACGACGACGACGACGACGACGACGACGACGACGACGATGCCGACGACGACAACGACGAGGACGAGGAGGACGGACGATGCCGACGACGACGAGGACGACGAGGACAACGACGACGACGACAAGACGACGACGCCGCCGACGACGACGACGACGACCTGTTTGCCGAGAGGCGACCACGCTCCTCTCTGTAGCGTGGAGGAGGGAGGATTCGTGTTCCATGGAGGCACTGGCGAGGGGACGGGCGGGGGCTCAGCACGTTGACTCTCCTTTCCTTCTCGTCCTCCCTCCTCTGTGCCTTCCCTTGAGATGGGAGATGCGCCCCGTGGGTGTCGCCCTGGACCACCTTGCCGTGGCCCAGACGCAGGTGGCAGCAGACGCCAGGGCGTCTGAAAGCTTCGGAGTTCGAGTCGACGACGGGGGACGTGGAACGATGCCAAGTACCTGGAGCTGGCCCCCTAGGAGGGCACCAACTTTGTGCGCAAGGACGAGGAGTGACCGGATGCCCTGGATAATGAAGCATTCCCCCTTTCACCGTCCTACGTCCTATGTTGGTCGTTTCGGGCGAAACGCTGTACCTCAAGGCTGCATGAGCCTTGGGGCATTCAATTTCGTGCCAGAGGCACGGTGGCGGATTCAGGCAGTGATTGAAAAAAACATGTTCAAGTATCGCACATTTCAATTTCCACAGACATTCGCACCTGTCGACAAATACGGTGGAGGTGTTCTCATCGTCGAGGGGTCAGAGGGATCTCGCACTACAGTTGCAATCCATGTTGCTACGCCTGGCTCTGTGAGGTTGGGGTGGCCTCGGG